AAATCACCGCCACACCGCTCCTCCTCCGCAAGACCGCCGGCCACAGCTCCTGCTCCATCTTCCGAGTTCCCCAAACCCTCATCGACATCAACGGCGGTGCCTATCAACCCCACATCGTCTCCATCGGCCCCTACCACCACTCCCAACCCCACCTCCAAATGATCGAAGAGCACAAATGGCGTTTTTTAGGCTCACTTTTAAGTCGAACCCAATCCAAAGGCCTCACTTTAGAAGACTACCTCAAAGCAATTCAACCCCTCGAATCCAAAGCCAGAGATTCCTACTCCGAAACCATCCGATTCGACACCGATGAGTTCATCGAAATGTTAGTCCTCGACGGCTGTTTTATAATCGAATTGTTTCGCAAAATAGGCAACGTGGTTCGTTTCGACCAAAACGACCCATTAGTGTCTTTGTCTTGGGTATACTCGTTTTTTTTACGAGATCTTATTCGCTTAGAAAATCAAATCCCTTTCTTTATCCTACAACGTTTGTTCGATCTCTCGATAATGCCCGGAGAAGAGTCCGGTCCTTCTCTTGCCAAACTCGCAATCGATTTCTTCAACAACGCCATCCAAAGGCCTGGTGATGTCATCGCCCAGTGCCAAACCCTACAAGGAAAACACTTGCTTGATTTTCTCAGATCGAGTTTTATTCCTGAGGATCAACAACAATACAACCAACGGAATGCGGCAGCCGCCACACATGTAATCCAAAGCGTCTCCAAGCTCCGCCGTGCCGGAATTAATGTCCGGCAGAGTGAGGTGGCGGAGGATAGCTTCCTGGTGGTCAAATTCAAGAACGGGGTGCTCGAAATGCCGACGATCTTCATTGACGATTTCATGAGCTGTTTCATAATAAACTGCGTCGCCTACGAACAGTGTCAGAATAACTGTTCAAAACACTTTACGGCCTATGCCACATTTTTAGACTGCTTAATCAACACGGCTAGAGACGTGGAGTACTTATCGGATCAAAGCATAATTGAAAATTATTTTGGTACCGATGCCGAGCTAGCAAAATTCATCAATAATTTGGGGAGAGATGTGACTTTTGACATAGAGATTTGTTATTTGTCTGGGTTGTTCAGTGAAGTGAATCAGTATTATAAGAATAGTTGGCATGTACAGTGGGCGAGCTTTAGCTACACTTGTAATCTTTATTTTGGTAGTCCGTGGTGGTTTATATCGGCATTGGCTGCGTTTGTTCTTCTGGTTCTTTCAGTGGTACAGACTTTGTATACTGTGTTAAGTTATTTTAAGGGGTGATTTGAAAGTTGGTTAAAAGGTGATTGTTTAATTTTTTTGTCTTTTTATGCGTAAAAAATGTAAAAAGTGATGTGATTTAAAATAGATTAAAAGTTAAAAATTAACTTTTATTTAGGTCGTCAAATTGCCCCTAAAGAGCCATACAAATTTGGAAATGGATTGAGAATATTTAAAATATGATTATGTTTGATTCACAATCTTTTTTTTTTTTTTTTTTCTTGAGTTCCTACTTAAATTCATGCTCTAAATATAGACTGAAAAAGGTTAGATATGCATACACTTAATTAATTAATTAATTTTTTTTGTGATGCCAAGTGTCTATTAATAATTATTTTTAAGAGGGTAATGTATATGGTTAATTATATTTTTTTTTGTCCTTGAATAATACATTTTGTGTTATTTTGTTTTATAATGTTTTAATTTGTTAATTTTAACCCGTGAAGTCAAAGAGAGAGAGAGAAATGGATAGCTTTAGACAGAGAAAGAGGTAGCATGTAGATAGCTAGAAAGGGGCAATGAAGAGCGATTAACAGTGCCGAATAGAGAACGACAGAAGAAGAGCGAAGCAGACAAACATGAATCACGGGCACCATCATCTTATCCGACACCGTACAGCCTCCTCATATCACTCGCACCTCTAGCGTTCGCGATCTCCAGTGATTTTGTCCAGCGATTCACCGATCGACGATTTGCAAAGGCAGAGAGTGAGCTGCAACCTATCATGTTATAGGTTTCAAATCTTTCCATTTTTATTCCTCTTCATTTTCCCCAATTTGATTGCTGAAAATGGATAAGAAATTAAGAAATAAGAGAGGTAGCTCATCCAAAATCTCACTTAAAGAATTCCAATCTAGCTTGGTGAAAAAGAAATTGCGCCATAATAGTTCAGATCAAGTTAATGATAAAACCAGAATAACATAGACTATATGTAAAGGCAATTAGAACTTGAGTTTGAACATGATGATTTTGACATTGAAGAGACTTATTGTGATTCCCCCGAAGCTTACAATGCCATGGTAGGTTCTAATGTTTAACATGGCTATCTATGAACAATACCTGGGCAAAACAACCATACCTAAACTAATGGGGGATATTGAGACAGCAACGAAAGCCACAAATGTGCAAGACTGCAATGAGACAAAAGGGCATGATCAGATTCAGATGTCATGTGTGGAGGGGTTGACGGGTGTTTTGGACTTATCCGATCAGATTGAAGCAGAAATGGTCCAAAGCCATAGTTCCAATGGGTTAGGTAAGTCTTCTTCCCATAATGTTAATGTTATCTTTAAGCCCTGGAGTGGTTTATGAAAAATCTAGAAATCCCCTAGATGTTGATTTGTGATTATGTATCAATTTTAAGCAGTATATAACAATCCCAATCAAATAATCAAGACAAATTGACTCAACGATTTTAACGTAGAAAAACCAGAATTGGAGCACCTCTAACTGTGATAAAAAAAACCACGGGCAACAGCCACAAAACAATCCACTAAGAAGACATAAAGGAATTATACAGGTATACTCTCAATTACCTGGCGAATCCACGCCCGAATTGAACCAACCCCTATGTGCCTCTTCCAACCCCGTCTTCACCTCGGAATTGTCTTGACAATGAGCCACTCCAGAATCTACCAAAGCTTCAGGCTTGAATTCTTCAGAAACCACCGAAGAACAACTCTCTCTTTTGTGTAGAACAAACAAATAATCCTTTGATGTATACTCTTTAAACCATGAGTTGAATACTCAATCAAAACATCAAAGAAAAATAGCAAAATATCCTCAGATATAAACCTTAATATCCAAGAAGAAGATCTGGAAAAGTAATCCTAGTTTTGGACTGCAACAAATACTTATAGAAATCTGGGACTCGCTCGAGCGAGGAACCAAAAACGCGTGTTTTCCATAAGTGGATTCACTCGAGCCACGCACCCTTCGCTCGAGTGTACATTCATCTCTTTCAGGTTTTTACACAGACGCAGCCTTCGCTCGAGCGAGCAAGGGCGGACAGGCAACTTCAAATGCAATTTTGCATTTTGCTTCAGGGGCGCTGCCCCTCGACCCTGCCGTGGCGCTGCCCCTCGACCCTGCCGTGGCGCTGCCCCTTGACCCCGCCGGGGCGCTGCCCCTTGGACTCCCACGAGCTGACCGGGCAGCTCAATCCCCGTCATAATCAGCGAAGTGGCAATCTTGAAAGTATTAACATCACAAACTTCTCTGCAAGGCACAATTCGGGTTGGATTCGCATCTAAAACTCATATCCTCACTGACATACAAGAGCGAATAAAATTACAACTGAAAGGAGTTTTGTCAAATGGGATTGCCAATAATAAAAACCTAACAGTTTATTTAAATTTGAGATTGCTATGAAGAAAGTAGTTAAAAGTCTCAACAGATACTCGGTGGGTTATGAGAATGATCAACTTCAAATCCCATTGGAAATCTCTAAAATTGGGTTTAAGCAATGGGAACATGCTCTTGTAGGTTATTTTATTGATAGAAAATTGTGTTTCTTCCAAGTGAAGACTTGGGCTTACAAGTTGTGTGAGGAAAATCTTGAAGAGGTTATAACCATAGATAATGGGTACTTTGTATTCAAGATGAAAAATGAAGAAGTTTTAAAGTCCATTATTAATGAGGGGCCTTATTATATTGGGAGCAAATTGATTGTTATTAAGAAATGACACCCCAATATGACCCTTACTAAAAATGTCTTCTCAAGTGTACTGATATGGTAAAATTTTTCAATATACTGCTTGAACTGTGGACTGAGAAGGGATTGAGTTACATAACAAGTTTTATCGGTAATCCATTGTACCTTGATGAATTTACCCAAAACCATAGCCGGTTAACATTTGCTAGGATTTGTATTGAGATAGAAGCTACTAAAGAGATTCCAGCCTCATTTGTTGTAAACTTAATATATGGAGAACCGTTCGAAATCAAAGTAGAAGTTCCTTGGAAACCCCAAGTGTGTGGAGAATGCAAAATATTTGGTCATGCTACAAGTTTGTGTCCATGTAAACCAATAACTCAAGCATCTAGTAAACTTAAACAAGAGTGGAAGGCCAAAGAAGTGGTCGAGATGAAGGAGGAAGGCAAGCCAAGTGAATGGATTGAAGTGAAAAAGAAAAAAGGTAAGGACGTCGTTAATGCTATGGGTAACTTTGCTTTTTCACCTCCTTCATCTTCATCGAATGCATTTGATATTTTCAATACTTGTGTAGCCAATGTGGAGGTTTCTTTTTGTGCCGATCTTAAGAGCGTGCTTAATGCGAATTGTTTCTCTTTAGAAGTGAGTAACCTCAAAAGATATTCCGAATGAAGAGGCTTCAAAGGAAGAGAAACAAATTGTTAGGGATGTGGGTAATATAAATGTGTTAGCCTCTAGACGATCTTCACGTTCCAAAGGAGCTCTGTAATCCCTTTTGGAGGGAACTTTCGTTGTTCCATGGACAAACCCATCTTCAAAAGTGAAAACCAAGAAAAAGCTCCTTGAAAGAATTGCTAATCTTAAAAGTTGTCACTGGCAGAATATTTTTGTGAATTTTTTTAGAGTCTGGCTTCCCTGTTGCCACTGTCCAACTTGAAAATCTTTAATGGTTCAAATTATTTATTTTGTAATTTTTTTATCTATATTATTTCAATTTTTTTTAAATGATTCATAATTGTAGTCTGTATAATTTATTAATGTTAATTTAAAATGAATAAAAATTATATTTTTAAAAATAAATTATTTATTTTTTAGGTGACAAACATAATAAATTGAACATGTTACATTATTAAATTAATTTCTTATTTTTTTATGGGAGATGCACCAATAAATCCCAAATCCTTATCTTATGATCCAGTTGGTCCTATCTTTTATCTTATGATCCAATAAGTCTCAATCTAATGTTGATGACAAAATAACCCGTGTTCCACTTTGTTTGGCACATTGTAGTAAGGGTAAATGTGGAATACCACAATGTGGAATTGACTAAGATGCCCAAAACCCTTACTGTGTTAATGTTTCTTTTCCCTCCAAACAAATCGGAATCGAAGAGACGTGTATGGAAATTTTAACAGTACGCTGATGTTAATGGCATAATGTTGGGTAGGGCAGATCAAGATTCGTAATTGGCAACGTGGAATCCTTGTGGATTGGGACACTAGAATATGAATTTGCATTTTACCCTAAAACCTAGCAAATATGCAACCGCTACCCTATTGATACATCGACACCGGTGGCTTGGGTGACTGTGACACTGTTGTGTTTTTGTGCGGCGATCGGAAAACCTTCATACTCCGGCGGAAGTGACTGTGTTTGGCAATAATGGCACCAGGTACGTTAATCGTTTATATACATGAACTCTTGATTTCGTTTGTATTGGTCTGGTTGATATTTGTCAGAAGTGTGATGTGTGTGATATCTTACGAACCTCATATTATTGTGGATTTGATATAGCATTGCTGATATGGATGATTTTGTGAAATGCATGCTTGTTGCATATGTTAGGTTGTTAATGTTGTTGGCATGTTGTGGGTTAGGAATTTGTTGCTAATTTGTTGCTTTCTAGTGTGTTAATGTTAGTCTGGTAAATGTAAGTGTGATGGTAATGATATTTTGTGGTCCAGGATGTCATGCCATTTTTTGTTGGGGGTGGGTGGGGGAAGATGGTTTTGCTATTTTGTTGGTGGTTCATATTGTCCTGTATTTGTGGGGTTTTGTATATGGTGTTTGTGTTTTTTTTTTACATTGACTGCAATAGTAATGGTGTTCAGGTAATGTGTGACTGGTGCACTTGCATATTTGAGATAGGGTTCAGTTTGTTTGGGGTTTTTTTTGTGTGTGTGCAAATTCGTCATGATGTGATGATATGGTACGTTGTCAAGTGCATGGTGTTGTTTATTGGAGTTGGCATAGTCACATTTGGACATTATACGTGGTGGCATTAGGTGTTGTGTGAGTCGCGAGTTTGATTGGCCGAAGGTATGCCAATTGGGGGAATCAATTAATGTCAGTCTGATAGATAGTGGAATACGACGCATGACTGAGACAGCGTTGAAATCTCAATGTATTAATCACACATGTGTATGGCTTTTGGATGAGTTAACATAATTTGTTAGCATTAGTGTAATGTTGTTTGGTGTGGCAAGAATGCATATGTATGGTGCGTTGGATTTGTATCTTATGTACTTGAAAATAGTTAATTTAGTGTGTTGGAAAGTGAAAATGTCATGTTTTTTATGGTGTTGCATGTAATGGGTCAACGTGGTGTGGTATGGATTAGAAGGTGTAGACTATGTTAGTGTGACGCATTAATGGTATGTTCCTATTTTACGTATTTGTTATGACATGGTGCGTGAAAGTATGAGTTAATTTGGTGTTTCTTTTGATGATGGAACACGTGGTGATGTTAATTGCTGGGGTTTGATTTCCCCGGTATGCTGTAATAATGTTATGCATGATGTTTTGCGTGTGTTGTTGTTGGTTTTAGTTTTTCCCTGACAATTTGCGTGTAACCCATGTTTCAGGTACTAGTGGCAATCGAAATGGAAAACGGAACATTGGCACAAGGTCACCGGAAACGTCGACCAGGTTGGCCATGAAAAGACAATCCAAACTGCCATTCAAGAAACAAAAAGGGGCCAGTGGTTCTGTTATGAAAGTTGATGTGGATCCATCGAGGTTAATGTACTAATCCAACATATCAAGGGTGATTAACACAGTGCTTGAATTGGAATTACGTGATGGGCATATTAAACAATTATAGAAAACCCCATTTTGGGTGATGATTGATTCTATTCGGGTGAACGAGCTTGATCCGAAATCGTTTAAGAAGTGTGATGCCACAGTCTGTCGAATTATTCAAACTTAGAACCTCGAAGATGAGAAGTTCCACATTGGTGGAGCTAAGCTACCATTGCGGAACAACGACATCATGTTGATATTTGGGGTACAATGTGGGAAGGAGAAGTTGGATTTGGCACATGGTGGTAAAGGGCTTCTGATTTCATGCAAAGACGTTGCGCAAATGTTAGCCGGATATCTTCGAAAGTTATAAAGGATTTGCTGACCGAAGCAATATGTGGTCGTACAAAACGTGACGAAGAAGACGTGGCAAAACTAGTGTGTCTTTACATTTGTGCGAAGTTATTTTTCGCAACCACTGGCGAGCATATAAGGTGGGCCTTTGTTTGTGTGATTGTCAAACTAGATACGTTAAGACAGTACAACTGGATTGCAACGATTCGGAACACGCTGATTGGTTCGCTAAATGATATGCACAATAGGCCAGAGAGGGTGACTGGTTGTGTCATAGCGTTGCTAGTACGTACAATAACCAATTTGCCGAACACATACATCATTAAAAAAAAAATAGACATACATTGTTATGGGCTTATTTAATGGTTTGTTTGATATCTTCATTTCAGTTTCTCATTTCTAAACATTCAACCATCATCACCCCGGAAAGGCCTAATGTGACACCAAGGTTTTGTCGATGGAACATTGGCGCAGTTGTGGGGAAATTGAAAGGGATAAATTTTTCGGCAGAAGTTTCCATTGAGGTATGGAATAAAAGCGTTGCAATTTTTTTTTTTGGTTTGCATACCGTGATGTTTATGTGTGTGTTATTTTGGATTTTTTCTAGGTTCACTGTGGTAAACTTGTCGGGACAATTACTAAGTGTCATATTCTGAAACTAGCTGCTGTTGCGAATGAAACAAGACAAGATGGTCGAATTACGATGGATGTGGATCCAGTTAACGCGTGCGATGGTCATGGGGTTGTTGTTGAGATGAATGATGTGGGCAGTGTGGAGCCAAGCTTCAATTGTTGGCAGCCTGATGCACCGAATGGTGGTCTCATCGAAAAGAAAGTGGTACATGCACTACAATAATTTACACTTTTGGCTACTAAATTTGGCGAATAAACTTTTTTTAGTCACCAAAAGTTGTAGAATAGGCAAATAAAAATTACATTGGTCGCTGTTGAATATGGTTTTTAGCTACTAATTTTTTTTTTAGTAGTTGTATCTTAATTATTGGCGACTAAAAAACGTTAGTCGCTAAATATGTGACAATAGGCGACTAAAAATTGTTTTAGTCGGCATTAGATCATGTTTTAGGGTACTAAAATTTTTGTTAGTCGTGATATACCAGTTTTTGGCTACTAAAATAAAGTTAGTCGCCAAAAGGTTAGCATAATGTTTGCTATTAAACTTTGGTGACCAAAGTTTTGATCGGCAAATATTCATTTTCGGTGACTAAAAGAATTTTAGTCACTGTAAGGTAATTTTTGCCTACTAAAATAATTTAGTCACTAAATAAAAAGTATAAATTTTACTTTTATCTTTGGTGACAAAAAAATTGGTCACTGAATATTTCTTTTCGGTGACTAAAATACCTTTAGTCGTCAAAATGGTTACTTTTGGCGACTAAAATATTAGTCGCTGCTAATTAAATGTTTGGCTACTAAATAAATTAGTCATTGTAAATTAGCCTTTAGCGACAAAAAAACAAGTTTAGTCGCTAAATGTATATAAAATTTTAGTGTTAAATGTTGGCGCGTAGTTCTTCTCAATATTTTCGAACATGGGTTTTTTTCTTCTCTCTCTCTCTCTCTCTCTTTTCCCTTTTTTATCTCTCCATCAATACAGTCACTTGCTCTCCCTCTTCTCACAGACTCACTATCCTTGCTAACAGCCACCGCTGCTAACCATTGTGACTCTCGCTACCGTCGGTCACCATCGCGACTCTCCCCTCTCAACCACATTCAGGCTTTTCTCTCTCTATCCCTCTCTTTCTTTCTCTCTCCCCCTTCCCTCACCATCGCGGATCTAGGGTTTGATTTTATTTTTGATGTTGTAGGATTTTGATAAAATCATTTTAGGGCTTTACTTTTTTTCTACATTTGAAGCAGCTATGAGCTCCAAGTTGTGTTTAATTCCACACTTTTGTTGCTCCAAGTGGTAAATTCGATCATTGTGTACATTATGACTCATGATCTGTATTATGCTCCATTGTTCCATACAATAAATAAAATGGAGAGTACGATTCCGATTTGATTATGGGATATATTTTGAAGTTCTGTTAAATGCTAGTCAGGCTCTTCGCCTTTCTCTCTCTGTACTCTGCTCTTCTGAGATCTGATTTACCTTAAAATATTGCTTCCGAATGGTGATTTGATACGTACTATTTCTATATAGACAATATATATATATATATTTGTAGTTCGGTGGTTACACTGGCTCTGAAGATATACATAAACACACAATCACAAGCCCTTGATTTTTTCTCCTTTTGTTGATCAAGCTCAAACTGTAAGTCACTCCAATCTCTCCATATATTCATTCATTTAGGGATCAGATCTAGTACTTTGAATTAATGGCTAAAATGAACTGATTTTAATTTGTTTTTTTTTCATTGTCTGGTTTTAATTTGAAAAATTGAGTTCGTTTCACTTTCGAATCCGTGCTCTTCTCAAGCATATCTAGAATAAGTTATGATGTTTTTTGTAATTTAATTCAGATTTTCTTTTGTAATTTTCTTTTTTTCATTTGTTATGAAATTTAGGTTTTTTTTTTAATTTTTTTTTTTTTTTTTATGCATTGTTGCTAGATTGAAATAAAGGTGTTGTGATTGGAGAAAAAAAAGAGAGAAGATGACTGAGAGCAAGAAGATTCAGCTCAGGACCGTTGGCGCGCTGAGTCTATCAGTGGTTTCGTCAATTTCAATTGTGATATGCAATAAGGCCCTTATTACCACATTAGGTTTTAATTTTGGTGAGTTGCTTACAATCAATTGCTTACATTATGTTTTCTATATATTTTTCTTTATTGTATTTACTATAAATTCAATGAAGTGCACCATATGAGAATTGTATATTCCAAAGCTATAATTGAACCATTCAGTTGGGGAGCTATGTAACCAATATATGAAGTACATGCAAAAATTCTCAAACAAAGGGTTCAATCTTGCTATTGACCAATACCAAAAAAAAAAAAAAAAAAAAAAAAAAAAAAAAAAAAAAAAAAGAAAGAAGGGAAAATTAGTGAAAATTCCTAGTGAAAATTAGGGAAAATTAGAAGATTAGGAGATGAATTCCTATTTTTTAATTTTAACAATTTGGAATGAATAACCCTTAATTTAAAATGATATTTATGTTCTTGTATTTATTGTATACCAGTATTATTAAAGGCGCACTTAGGATATATATATATATATTGACACAGGTAGACATGAGTTAGTAATATTAGTTGTTAGTTTTGGGTGATTTCAATAGTTCTATTTTATTGTGCAACATGGGAGTAGTAAGTGGTCCAACTAATACTATTTCATTACATTTTGGCTTATCACAAACTTTGATGATTCATGCTTGCATAGAAGTCATTTTGTTACCCCTCCATTTCTAAAGGAATTGCAAAGGAATATGGATTTTGTCTAATTGTCAGTTTTCAAATGATTCCTTAATACATGAAAAGGTGAACATGTTTACAGCATGAACAAGGTAATGTATTGTGTGCATTGCCTCTTCAGGGGGCTATAAATGATTTGGTTTAGTAGTTATGTTCTGAAGGCCTAAATTTCAATTCCTTCAATGGAACCCATTTAGATTGTTCTAGTATTTGAAGGAACCCATTTAGATTGTTCTAGTATTTGATGATGGAAAATTTGCTTTCTGGCATTGACGCTGTTGCTTTTGATTCAACTTATGATCTTAACATTTTTCTTTTAGTTTATTGATTTCTTTCAATGGGAAGCCAGTTATTTTATTGTTATTAATATTTTTCTCGTTGTTAGCTATTTCATCAATACCCTTATTCTGCCTATAATAAATGGGCCTATGGAGGTCTGATGCTAGTATATGTGGTCCATTTCTTTACAGCTATAGTTTGTATGACCCTTTTGTATATATATACATTGATAAGTAGCCCTATTACATATTTAAGGCACTCATTATAGACATAAATATTTTAACCAATTAATAGGTTTTAAAAAAACTCATTCATTGATTAGGTTTTTATTCTTTTAGTTGTATTTCACTATAATATTAATTTCGTCTCTTTTTCAGGTGCTGAGTGGTGGGCTCAACAATTTGGAAAGTCTCTGCCATTTTTGAGTTGGGTTCCAGTGATAAATGGTATGACTCATGGATAGAATAGGATGTCTAGAAACATATAGGCAACTAAAAATTTACTCATGGATAGAACAGGGTATTTTTAAGTGTGCTTTATATGGAGGGAAGTGTTCATGATTTGTCAAATCATATTACTTCAGAATTCCTTTGAAATGAATAGCTCAACCAATTAAATTTTGTACGTATGATTTAAACTAGAATGAAGGAATAATGGGCTTTCATATTAGAATGGGCTTCTTTAGGTTCATCTCTCTTTCTCTCTCTCTCTCTCTCTCTCTCTCTCTCTCTCTCTCTCTTTCTTGCATGGTTTGCTGTTTGCTTGCCATACATTGTTGGTTGTTGAGTCTACTAACTTAAAACTTTTGGGAATAGAGCTCTACTTCTATGAGCTTCTCTTTGCACACTAGTCTTTTTTTTCTTTTCTTTTCTTTTCTTTCTTTCTTTCTTTCTTTTTTTTTTCTTCTTCTTCTTCTTCTTCTTCTTCTTTTTGTCTGTGTGTGTGTGTGTTGCTTAGTTCACATTATTTTGTCAATTGTTAACAAAAATTCATGGTTCGAATTCAGTAGTTAATATACGAATAATGGATTTTTGTTTAGTTGATACTCAAAAGACAAAATGGTGTGAACTGAAAAGTTTTATGGTCTATTCCTGTCTTGTTGTTCTAGTATCTTTCTCATTATACACTTTATTTTATTTGTCTTCATGCATTGTGTACTCTATTTTACTTCTCATTGTGCATCTTGTTTTTTTAGTCTATTCGTCTCTCCATGTGCAACAAAGTTACACATAAGGAAAAGTATTAACTTGATATATATATTGTTGGATTTATTTCTAATACCTTAAGCTTTTTGGATAATTATTTCCTAATACCTTGGCCCTAGATTAATTGGCTCGGATATTGAGTTATAAAAAAAAACAAAAAACAATTGCCTTGAGATGAGGGGGGTTTTTTTTTATGAGTGTGTGTGTGTGTGTGTGTGTGTGTGTGTGTGTGTGTGTGTGTGTTTTTAATTTGGGAATTGGGTTTTAATTTTTTGTGATTTTGGAAGGTATGTTGCTAAGGGAAAAGGGGATATTGCAACATCATCAGCTGATTGATGAGTTCGAGAATGTTGTTGGAGAAGATGGAGTCATGAAGGAGCTCAAAGAGAGTCCTTTTAGCCAAATTCTGAAGTTTGCACAGGTAAGTGCGGCACTAACTGTAAAGGTTACAACCTAACAGGACCATTTGAAGCACTCATGGAAATTGAATTACTAAAATAAAAATAAAAATTAAATTGATATTTATTTTTGGTATTCCAGTCTAATAATTGTTTCTAGTAGCTATTGTACGAACAATCTTCTGTAAAAAAACACGAATATATATATATATATATTTTTTTTTTTTTCCAAAAAATGCAAAAAATGCAGTATTTGTAGTATTACATTCATTGTCAATTCTGTGAAATTTTTCTGTGTTTATAGCATTACACAATAATGTTGCCTTTTGTCACATCATCAACTAATTTTGTCTTTATGGCTGTGTCTACACATGTATATGCATGAGAGGATAATTTATATGTAAATTGGGCTTAGCTGAGTAATGGGCCGTTCTGTGGGCCACAGTATGAAAAGCCTTGTAGTTAGCCTGGTCCAAATGAGCTGGGCAGTCAGCTCAGTCACCACGGTCAGAGTGGCAACAGTTAGCTCGGTCATACCATGCTGAGCCGAGGTATTTTTGGCTTTCTTGAGGACCTTGCTCATTGATTAGCTCGGTCCAAGCTTGTCATAGGATAGCACGGTCTCTACGGAAGAAACCGAGGTACAACTGAACGAGAGCCGAGCTAGCTTGGCGTTGCACATTGGAGCACGAAGCTCAGTCAGCTCGGTCAGAAGTTAATAGCCCAGTTGGAGTATGCGTAACCATAGTGCAGGCACTGAAGGGAAGATCTGAGCTAGGTTAGCTCGGTCGTACTGCCATCCAACCGGGGTAAAACTATCTCACTTGGTTTAAGCAGTGAGGGGGGTGTTGAAGGATAAGCATTATCCTTTAGGAGTGTGATTCCTAGGAGGACTCTGCATGGAGGAATAAAAGTCCTACTAGGGTTATGCCACGCGGAACCTATAAAAGCTCATAACATCACCTATGGAGAGGTAACACAATTTTGATTCCCGAATACACAGAGCTTTTGTCTATCTGTCTATTTTGCTGACTTAGGCATCGGAGAGGTATCTGGCACACACCCGCCGGCTAGCTCATGTTTGTGTTTTCAGGGAGTAAAGCGACGACGTTTGGAGGAGCGCAGATTTGATCAACAGGATTATATGAGAAGATTATTTCTTGCTCGTACAATTGGCGCCGTTTTTGGAAAACCTTCTAGAGACAAAAGCTATCAGGGAAGTGCACTATCCCAAGTGGATATCCAACACAGTAGTGGTGCAAAGAAGAATGGAAAATGGCGTGTCTGCGTGGACTACAAAACAGTCAACAAGGCATGCCCAAAAGACAGCTTTCCCCTGCCACGGATAGACAAACTGGTAGACCTAATGGCAGGACACGATCGACTTAGCTTTCTTGATGCATATAGAGGTTACCATCAGATCGCTATGTATGAACCAGACCAGGAGATCACATCCTTTACAACGCCAAGAGGACTGTATTGCTACAAGGTCATGCCCTTTGGCCTAAAAAACACAGAGGCAACATTCCAGCGGATGATCACCAAGATGTTCAAACCATTGTTAGGTAGAACAATGGAGGTTTACATCGGTGATATGGTAGTAAAAAACAAGGATAAGAACGACCATCTCAGGGACCTAGGTGAGATGTTTCAGATCCTAAAGAAGCACAAGTTGCACCTTAATGCATCTAAGTGTGCGTTCTGCATAGGATCAGGCAAGTTCCTAGGTTTCCTGGTGACCAACCGAGGTATAGAGGCAGACCCTTCTCAGATCAAAACAATTCAGGATCTAGAGAGGCCCAACTCAGTAAAAGAAGTACAACATCTCACTAGTATTGCAGCCGCGCTAAACCGGTTCATAAGTCGGTCGTCAGACAGATGTCGACCATTTTTTCAAGCATTAAAGGCCAAGTTTGAGCAGGATGAAGAATGCGACTGCGCCCTAGAAACTTTAAAGGAATACATGTTTTCTCCACCGCTGCTAGTGACCCCAATACCTGGAGAAGAACTATTTTTGTACCTGGCAGTTTCACAGCACGCAATTAGCGCAGTGTTGGTCCGAGCGGAAGGAATCCAACATCTGCCCATCTTTTATGTCAGCAAGACATTGTTGGGTGCAGAAACCAAGTACTTACCATTGGAAAAACTGGCCTTAGCCTTGATGATGGCCTCAAGGAAGTTGTCGCACTACTTTCACGCCCACACCATAATCGTCCTCACAGCTTTTCCATTAAAAGCTTTGTTCGAGAGGGCGAACATTTCTGGGCGAATCTTGAAGTGGGCAATAGAGTTGGGGCAGTTTGACATCAATTTTCAACCCAGAACCGTGATAAAAGCCCAAGCTTTGGCAGACTTTGTCGCAGAATTCATACCAGCAAGTTATCACGTCTGCCCAGTTGACTTAACGGGTACAACCGAAATAGGGATGGAAAGTGGCGCCGGAATAACGCAACCCCTAATACAGGATACCCAGTTACCTCCCAGGACAGACCAGAGTGAACAAAGGGAGGGAGAAACAAACCATGCTGCACCAGGCAAAGACCCATCAACAAATAAAGACTTGGTACAATCAGATAGCGAGGGACAAACAGTAAGTGTGGACTTTGAAGAAAACACCAGCAACACTCAGGACCCCAAGGCATCATCCAATCCCTCTACCTGCTGGAAGCTATTCGTTGGAGAGATATGGAAGCTCTTTGTGGATGGAGCATCCAACAGGCATGGAGCAGGACTCAGCATAGTCCTCATCTCACCAGATGGCCTAGTAGTGGAACAAGCAGTCAACCCTGGCTTCCCAGCATCAAACAACGAAGCGGAGTATGAAGCGCTTTTAGCAAGACTAAAATCAACACTCTACATGAAGGCCATCAGCTAATGGTTTACAGTGACTCACAGTTGGTGGTAAACCAAATTTCAGGCGACTACGAAGCAAATGATAAAAGGATGGCTAAGTGCCAAGAGTTAGTCAGAAAAGAGATCACGAAGTTTGAAGTTGAGCGGATAGAACAGATTGGCAGAGAAGAAAACAGCAGAACAGACGAACTAGCAGGCTTTGTTTCAATGGTAGATACATCCATCCCACATCCACTGCTGATCGACTTCCTACCCAGACCAATCATTGAAAAATCTAAAGTAGAAGAAGTATGTTGCGCCAAACTAGGCCCTTCATGGATGGATCCCATCATAGTGTTCCTAAAAGATGGCATTTTACCCGAAGAGCAGAAGAAGGCCAACAAGATAAGAGTAAAGTCACAGCGATTTTGGCTCTCTCCATCAATGGCCTTGTACAAGAAATCCTTCATAGGACCTTACCTGAAGTGTGTCCATCCCAGCAAGGTCGAAGCATTTATGCTTGAGATTCACGAAGGTGTATGCGGAAGCCACCAAGGGGGGAGATCATTGGCTTACAGAGCAATTTCGCAGGGATATTGGTGGCTTTACATGCAAGCAAATTCGGAGAAGTATGTCAAGAAGTGCGAGAAATGTCAGAAGTTTGCACACCAAATACATCAGCCATCCAGAGAGCTTCTACCTTTAACTAGCCCATGGCCCTTCGCAATGTGGGGCTTGGACATAGTAGGACCACTTCCAACAGCGCCTGGCAACAGGAAGTTCTTTCTAGCAACAACAGACTACTTCACAAAGTGGGTGGAGGCAGAAGCACTAGCATCAATAAAGGAGAAAGATGTGAAGAAGTTCGTCTGGCAGAATATCATTACTCGGTTTGGCATATCCAAGGCTCTAATATCAGACAACGGCACTCAGTTCGACGGCAAAATTTTTAGAGGCTTTTGTGAGGAATACAAGATAGAATTCTACAATTCTACACCGGCATACCCCCAAGCAAATGGCCAGGCGGAAGCATCCAACAAAGTCATCTTGGATGGATTAAACAAAAGACTAGAGAAAGCAAAAGAAAAGTGGGCGGATGAGTTTCCTCATCTTTTATGGGCTTACCGTACCACACCTCGGCAATCAACTGGAGAAACTCCTTTTTCCTTGACCTATGGCATGGAGGTACTAATCCTACTGGAAGTCGGCCTCCCCACAATTAGAAGCGAGAATTTCGATCCAGACTTAAATGGGTAAGCCATAGCCTTAGAACTCGACCTTGCGGAAGAAAGAAGAGAAAGAGCACTAGTTCACATTGTCTCATACCAGCAAGAGTTGTCCACAAAACAGTACATCCAAGACAATTCAAAATCGGAGATTGGGTACTGCGCAAAGTGATGGGCAACACCTTGGTACCCGGAGATGGAAAGTTAGGGCCTAATTGGGAAGGACTTTACAAGGTGGTTGGATTAGCAGGAAAATGGGCATACCATTTGGAAGATGAAGACAGCAAAGCCTTTCCCAGGCCATGGAACACTGTCAATCTCAAACTATTTTATTTTTAGTTTTTCTTTCAAGTATTTGTAGTTTTTTCTTTCTCAATAAAACAAGTAGTTTCTTTTCAGTATAGTTGTTTCCTTCTGTAAAAGATTGTTTTAGTGTGTTAGGCACACTGAAAGCATAGTTGGCTGGAATAACCAACTTTGCACTCTTTTCAGCTAAGATTAGGATCAGTACTGAAGAAGTTAGCTGGAATAACCAACACCCCCTTAAGCCCAGGATAAAGATCCAGGTTACAGGATGTTTGGTCGGAATAACCAAACACTTTACTCTAGATTGGCAGGAATAACCAACTTAGAGGTTGGCTAGAAAAACCAACACCCCTCCTAAGCCCAGGATAAGGATCCAGGCTGCAGGATGTTTGGTCGGAATAACCAAACACTTTACTCTAGGTTGGCAAGAATAACCAACTTAGAGGTTGGCTGGAAAATCCAACACCCCGCCTAAGCCCAGGATAAGGATCCAAGCTGCAGGACGTTTGGTCGGAATAACCAAACACTTTACTCTAGGTTGGGAGGAATAACCAACTTAAAGGTTGGCTGGAAAAACCAACACCCCTCCTAAGCCCAGGATAAGGATCCAGGTTGCAGGACGTTTGGCAGGAATAACCAACTTAGAGGTTGGCTAGAAA